TGATACCCATGGGTCACTTCAGAGTGAACTCATTTGTGATCTTCTTTCATTGGAAGTTGAATCGGTTGATGGCAGTGCCTCGTTTAAACTCCACTTTGGTATTGCTAGTAGTGTCAATGCCAGCGTTTCTTTTTAATTGTGCGAGCGTTGATAGCAGTGTCTCGTTTGTGGTTAGTTATAACAGCGTTGACAGCAGTGTCTCGTTTGCGGACACCTCATTGTACATCAACTCGCTGATACCGGGTTTCCTATCAACACCATCATCATCATCCTTAACCATGTTTGCTCGAGTTTCACCTGGCCGTCCAGCCGCGGCGGTGCTCCTCAGCCTGCCTTGTCACAATGCCAGCACGCGGCAAGGCATCGCCCCCGCCGCCCCCGGCCCCGCGCGATGGCCCGTGGGAGATTCTGCCGGATCCGCCCGCTCCGACTCCTCAGCCAGGTGTCGACGTGGTCTTTGAGCAGGCTCACCTCGAAGACATCCGCCGTGCACCAGGGATGGGCGGCAAGACCGCCTGCCAGTGGCAGCGCGCGCTGCGCGCCGAGTGCATTGTCAACAACTTGTCGTTCAAAGACGTAACAAACGACCCGTCCTACGACTGGAAGCAACTGCTTCGGTCTGCCGCTCCGGGTTTCGCTGAGCGCATAATCGGGCAGGGCATCGCCCAGGTTCTCTTTCGCATCATCGAGACAGAGCGCGACCCTAACTACTCCAACACGGATGGCCACGGCAGGCACTTCTTCGAGTTCCGTCGTGCAGACGGTTCAGCCATGCGCCTGCATTACCATAAGAACGGCCGACCCGATGAGCCCACCTATGTCGGTCCACCACGCGCCGTTGCTCAGCCTGCCGTGCCTGAGCCTGGCGCTGCTCAGCCTCATGTTCCTCGTGGCGGCGCTGCTCCGACTGCCGTGCCTGACGGTGGCGCTGCTCAGCCTGCCGAGACTGGCGGTGATGCCCCACTGCTCTTCACACAGGAGCACCTGCAAGAGGCAGCCTGCTCGCGCCAGATTGTGGGCCGCGACGAAGCCAGCGCCGCTCTCCAATCGCTGTTGCACTACCACCATGGCGAGACTGCCCCAGGTGCTGTTGACATCACCGATGGCTCAGCATTTGACTGGCTTCGATGGGTGGCACATATCGAAGGTGCGCGCGACGTCATCCGCAATGGCGTCCACAGGGTCTACGCTGTCCGCTGGAATCCGCACTGGGCTCCAGAGGCCGTCTTCTGCTACGGCAACAACACCTACAGCACACTGGTGCCCCGCAAATCGCGCTACACAGGCTCGTGGAGCCACGCGCGAATTGTGACTCACCGGAACGCCAATTGGGTGACCGAACCGTTGCTATCTGCGGCCCCTGTGGCAGCTACGCCGTGGCTGGTGTTGCGGGATCAAATAACCTGGGAGTGATCTCTGGCAAACGAGATGTGGTGCTTCTCAGCCTGCACTCATGTGACACGCAATGCCGTGCCCTGCAATCGCGTGGTGTTTCTCAGCCTGCACTCGCAGGTCCTTCGGAGGTCAATTGTTATGAGTTCGGCACGGTCTCGGTCAAGTACAGCGTGCTGTGGGGATCCCGAGATGGGGCCTGGCTCAAGGTGCTCAAGACGTACTGGAGTGTCCCAGAGCCGGAGTGCCAGCTGATCCTCGGGAGTTGGAACGGCATTTTCAGGCCGTGGCCGGACACGTTCTGGATCAGGACGGGGGGTCCGAGCCCGAGATAGATGCTAGCGCTCTGCAGTACAAGTGCTTTTCAGCATGCGACATCCTGCGGTGCTTCTCAGCCTGCAGGGTTCGCAGCGTGCGGTTTGCAATGCATTCCTTTTCAGTATGCGAGTTCCTGCGGTGTTTCTCAGGTTGCAGGGCTCCGAGGCTCTTCCCTTCGATGCCAATGTTTTCAGACACCGTAGCTCCGTTCCGTAAACATCTTCCAAGAGCCGCTCGCAACTTTTTGCAGCTGGCGGTTTGCAGACGTAGTCTGTCTCAGCATGCGAGCTCCCGCACGCTTCGCCGGCTTTTGCTGCGCGGACAATTTTCTCACACACGTCAGCGCCGTTTGTAGGCGTCAGAAAAACATGTAGACATTCACGAAGGGCTCAGTCTGTATATCGTCACATCATTACATACGCAGTCGTCGAACACATCGGTGTACATTCAGCGCTTTGTCCTTCTAGCTGGGTCGCTTCGTGCTGAGGCTGAGGCTGATGCAGGCTGAGGCTGAGGCAGGCTGAGGCTGAGGCCGAGGCCGACGGCAGACTGAGGCTGAGGCTGAAGCAGGCTGAGGCTGAGGCAGAGGCAGGCTGAGGCTGAGGCTGAGGCTGAGGCAGGCTGATGCTGAGGCAGGCTGAGGCTGAGGCTGAGGCTGATGCAGGCTGAGGCTGAGGCAGGCTGAGGCTGAGGCCGAGGCCGAAGGCAGACTGATGCTGAGGCTGAAGCAGGCTGAGGCTGAGGCTGAGGCAGGCTGAGGCTGAGGCAGGCGGAGGCTGAGGCTGAGGCAGGCTGAGGCTGAGGCTGTGACTGCGACTGCCGTTGCCACTGCGACTGTCCTCGCGAATGCGACAACGACTGCGAGAACAGCAGAATTCTACAACTGGATTCTCATCCGAATCTTAAGGGGAATGCTTCCAGATATGCTCCTACACATGGCTGTTAGGTTGCTTTGCCGTGATAATTTTTTTTTTACCTAACAGCGAAGACTGATAGGTTTCTAGTGGGATCAAAAGAGAGCAGCAGATCACTCCACAGGGGGGTCCGGGCAGGTGTTGGGAGTTGCCGGGCGGCAGGTGCCGGGCTCGTTTTTCACCAACAGTCACACACTTCGTGCTCTTCGCCTTCCCAGAACTCCATTCCCAGGCCACATTCTGGGGGGCCGGATGCAACAGTCACAAACAAAGTGCTCTTCGACATCCCAGAACGCCATTCCCGGGCCACATTCTGGGGGGCCGGATGCAACAGTCACACACTTCGTGCTCTTCGAGTTCCCAGAACTCCATTCCCGGGCCACATTCTGGAGGGCCGGATGTAACAGTCACACACTTCGTGCTCTTCGAGTTCCCAGAATTCCATTCCCGGGCCACATTTTGGATGCCCGGAGCCACTGTAGGCCACTTCCTGGTCTTCGAGTTCCCAGAACTTCTTCCCCGGGCCACATTTTGAATGCCCGGAGCCAACCTGTAGGCCACTTCGAGATCTTCGAGTTCCCAGAACTCCATTCCCGGGCCACATTTTGAAGGCATGCCCGTAGCAACTGTGGCAAATTCTGTTCTTCGCCTTTCCCAGAACTCCCACGCCTGGGACCTGGCCACCATTTTCAGCAGGGGCAAGGAGCACGAACGAGAAGGATGCAGAACGAGAAGGATGAGCGAGCAAGACCAGGAGGACGAGGACGAGCAGGAGCAGGACGTGGAGCAGGAGGAGCAGGAGAAGAAGGACGAGCAGGAGGAGGAGGAGGACGAGCAGGAGGAGGAGGACGACCAGGAGGAGGAGGACGACCAGGAAGAGGAGGAGGAGGAGGAGGAGGGGAGGGGGAGGAGCACCAGGAGGAGGAGGAGGAGGAGGAGGAGGAGGAGGAGGAGGAGGACGAGGACGAGGAGGAGGAGGAGGGGGGGGGAGAGTACCAGGAGGAGGAGAACGAGGACCACCAGGAGGAGGAGGAGGAGGAGGAGGAGAAGGAGGAGGAGGAAGGAGGAGGAGGAGGAGGAGGAGGAGGAGGAGAGAGCACCAGGAGGAGGAGGACGAGCAAGACGAGGAGGACGAGAACGAGGACGAGCAGGAGGAAGAGGAGGAGGAGGAGGAGGAGGAGGAGGAGGAGCATGAGAAAGAGGAGGAGGAGGAGGAGGCAGGCTGAGGCTGAGGCTGTGACTGCGACTGCCGTTGCCGCTGCGACTGTCATCGCGAATGCGACTACGACTGCGAGAACAGCAGAATTCGACAACTGGATTTTCATCTGAATCTTAAGGGGAATGCTTTCAGATATGCTTCTACACATCGCTGTTAGGTTGCTTTGCCGGGATAATTTTTTTGATCTTTTCTCTCTCTCTCTCTCTTTCGCTTTCTTTCTGCTTCGATCTCCCGCCAGCGCTGCACCGCGCAGTTCGGAGAGTTCCATCGTGCCACGCGACGGCCCCCCCGGACCGCCACTTCCGAATATCCCCCGCTCTCGAAAAAACCCACGCGACGACCACGGAACAACCGCTGGGCAGCCATGCAGCAATTCCAAGGGCTCCCACGAGGGTGCGAAGTTATTCGCGCTTCGCGCTTCGCGGTCCTCGTTCCTTCTCCCCCTCCTCCTTGTCCTCCTTTTCTCCCTTTGGGGGGGTGGCGCGAGAGCGCGAAGTTATTCGCACTTCGCGCTTCGCGCAGCGCGAAGCGCGAAGTTGGGAGCCCTTGCAATTCACAGGCCAACCGCGGGACAACCTACGGGATAACCCCGCGTCCCACATCGAGACGGGAGCGGCACTTTCTTGTTCGACTCGGCCGTGGCAGCGGTCGACACATCATCGCCCTCGCGCAGCTTCGCTTCGCTCCCACGCTCGGCACGAATCGGAACCGGAATCGAAACTTGTTTCCTGGTCGGGGCCATTGCGATCTCACCGCGCATATTTGTGTACGTGCGCGTGTGTGTGTGTGTGTGTGTTTGTGTGTGTGCATTCGTTATTTGGCGTGCTCCATTATTGCTCCACTTGGAGGCGCTGCGAAAGACTGCCGATGAACAGTGTGTGTGTGTGTGTGTGTGTTCGCTCGGTTGCGAGGTGCAGGAACGATAGAAAGGGAACGGCAACGCAGTCCGCAAGTGCGCGTTTCCACGCATGCAGCCGAGCTGCAATTCATCTGGCTTGAGCCAAAGTTCTGTAGTATTTGTGCGCGCTCGTACAGTTTTCACAGGGGGCCTTTCACAGTTATGGACCGCGGCGGTGGGTTTCGTAGGGTCTGAGGTGTGCGCGATGTCGTGCAGAGTGTTTCTTGCACTGATCTGCCAGACTGCACAGTGCTGTCAGGCTGGAGCGACGACGACAGGGTGTCCTGCGCATTCACCGCGCTGCGCACCGTGACCGCTCTGTCGAGGTATCGGGCCATGGAGGACTGGCTGGCCAAGCGCCCAGATGGGCCACCCATGCAGCCATCTACTCCAATGGCGTATGAGTGAGACGACTGTAATTTCTCTGGTGGAAGTCGCAAGGAAGTGTGTGCCTGTTGGTAGAAGGGGTTTTGGCTTTTTCAGTCGATGCTCGGAAGCAGGTGGCTGAGGCGAACTAGGATTCCACAGGCCTTCGGCGCCGCCAGCGAAACCCCAGACTTCCGAATTCCGGAGGATTGTGTCATTCAATCCGTGGGCCCTGAAGCTCTCGGCACATTCCTTCTCCAGGGCATGTGTTTTTTACCTAACAGCGAAGACTGATAGGTTTCTAGTGGGATCAAAAGAGAGCAGCAGATCACTCCACAGGGGGGTCCGGGCAGGTGTTGGGAGTTGCCGGGCGGCAGGTGCCGGGCTCGTTTTTCACCAACAGTCACACACTTCTTGCTCTTCGACTTCCCAGAACTCCATTCCCAGGCCACATTCTGAATACCCGGATGCAACAGTCACACACTTCGTGCTCTTCGAGATCCCAGAACGCCATTCCCGGGCCACATTTAGAATAACCGGATGCAACAGTCACACACTTCGTGCTCTTCGACATCCCAGAACGCCATTCCCGGGCCACATTCTGGAGGGCCGTATGCAACAGTCACACACATCGTGCTCTTCGAGTTCCCAGAACTCCATTCCCGGGCCACATTTTGGATGCCCGGAGCCAACTGTAGGCCACTTCGTGGTCTTCGAGTTCCCAGAACTCCATTCCCGGGCCACATTTTGAATGCCCGTAGCCAACTGTAGGCCACTTCGTGCTCTTCGAGTTCCCAGAACTCCATTCCCGGGCCACATTTTGAATGCCCGTAGCCAACTGTAGGCAACTTCGTGCTCTTCGACTTCCCAGAACTCCCATTCCTGGGCCACATTTTCAGCAGGGGCAAGAGCACGACGAGGAGGAGGACGAGCAAGACCAGGAGGACGAGGACGAGCAGGAGCGGACGAGGAGCAGGAGGAGCAGAGAAGAAGGACGAGCAGGAGGAGGAGGAGGAGGACGAGCAGGAGGAGGAGGACGACCAGGAGGAGGAGGACGACCAGGAAGAGGAGGAGGAGGAGGAGGAGGAGGAGGAGGAGGGGGAGGACTACCAGGAGGAGGAGGAGGAGGAGAGGAGGAGGAGGAGGAGGAAGAGGAGGAGGAGGAGGAGGAGGACGAGGACGAGGAGGAGGAGGAGGGGGGGGAGAGTACCAGGAGGAGGAGACGAGGACCACCAGAGGAGGAGGAGGAGGAGGAGGAGGAGGAGGAGGGGAGACACCAGAGGAGGAGGACGAGCAAGACGAGGAGGACGAGAACGATACGAGCAGGAAGAGGAGAGAGGAGGAGGGGGGAGGGGAGGACTACCGAGAGAGGAGGAGGAGGAGGAGGAGGAGGAGGAGGAGGAAGAGGAGGAGGAGGACGAGGAGGAGGAGGAGGAGGAGGACGAGGAGGAGGAGGGGGGGGGAGAGCACCAGGAGGAGGAGAACGAGGACCACCAGGAGGAGGAGGAGGAGGAGGAGGAGGAGGAGGAGGAGGAGGAGAGCACCAGGAGGAGGAGGACGAGCAAGACGAGGAGGACGAGAACCAGGACGAGCAGGAGGAAGAGGAGGAGGAGGAGGAGGAGGAGGAGCAGGAGAAAGAGGAGGAGGAGGAGGAGGCAGGCTGAGGCTGAGGCTGTGACTGCGACTGCCGTTGCCGCTGCGACTGTCATCGCGAATGCGACTACGACTGCGAGAACAGCAGAATTCGACAACTGGATTTTCATCTGAGTCTTAAGGGGAATGCTTTCAGATATGCTTCTACACATCGCTGTTAGGTTGCTTTGCCGGGATAATTAATATCGGATCGTTTTCCGATGGTTCCAGGGCTCGAAGCCAAATATCGAAGCATGGAAACAGCATGTCAAGATGGACAATTCTCTCAACGCGACGGCTGGACGCGAGCCGAAACCCAGACACGGGTCGAACATGTTCCTGGCATGTGGTTCCAGAGTGGCTTGGGAATCTGGTTCGAGTATGTTCTACCAGGAGGAGGATGATGAGGAGGAGGGGCACCAGAACAACTCCACCGTGCGTCGACGATCCTGCGCCACCCTCTCCCGTCCCAGGTCTCCTCGCCTCAGGGAGGTTTCTGCAGTCACTCCTGCTCACTGCGCTTGGCATCGCTCGGAGGTGTGCATCGTTCCTTCGGCGAGGACCATCGAGGAGCATCCTTGACCATTTGGCGAAGAAATCACGCACGAAACCGAAAACACACACAGGGAACGGACGTCCGAGCGATGGCCAGTGCGAGGAGTGCCCGCCTGAGAGGCAGCCGCCAGGATCTGCCGGGAGTGCCCGCCGAACGGCAGGCCCTGCGGGCATGCCGCTCGGGCATGGGGCCCTGTTGGGCAAGGATCCGCCTTCTGCCCTGCAGCCTTCGAGGAAGGTCAGGGCGTAGTGCCATACAAGCTTCAAGGAAGTGGCATGCGGTAGCCCAACGACGACAGGGAGCAGGTTCAACCCACAGCGTTCCGGATAAAACTCAGAGGGTCCCAGGTGCTGCCGGCGAACCACCCTCAGGCTCTCGGCTGTCAATAAAACTCGTCCTTCCCCTCCTCGTCCTTCCCCTTCTCGTCCTCCTCCTTGTTCTCCCACGCAAAGGGCGTCTCCTGCTCAGCCTGTGCGTACAAGGAGAAGAAGAAGGTGGAGGAGGAGGACGAGGAGGAGGAAGAGGTGGAGGAGGAGGAGGAGGAGGAGGAGGAGGAGGAGGAGGAGGAGGAGGAGGAGGAAGAGGAGAACTCTGGGGCCCTCAAGCGGTCTTCTGCGAGTGCAATGTCGACTGCGGCGGCGGCGGCGGCGGCGACGACGACGACGACGACGGCGGCCGCCGCGGGGGAATCATCGTTTTCCAAGTAGTATCGAAGACGCCTACGGCGAATCACCGCCGCCCCCTGCCTTTGTGGAAGCGCCTATGTGGCCGAACGTTGAGGCCAGACCTGCCAAGCCATCGGACCATGTGTTCCCCGAATCGGTTTGGAAAGCCTTCGGGGAACACGTGGGCGTCTTGATGGTCATCGTCGCCGTCTTGGAGGCCTCTTGGGCGATCTTTCGGCGATCTTTGGGGGCTCTTGGGCCGTCTCGGGCCGTCGGAAGGCCGAAAAAGGGAAATGCCCAAATCCATCAAAAACCTTGGGAAAATCAGTGATTTTGGCATCTTTTGGCCTTCCTGGAGGCCCTCTTGGGGGCCTCTTGGGCCCTTTTGGGCCAGCTTCGAGCCAACTTCGGCCATCTTGGTGGGTTCCTGGCACGTCTGACGCCGTCGGGAGCCGTTTTGGGGGCCTTTCTGGGCCAACGGGGGACCCTCTTGGGGCGCTCCAGGGCCGTCTTGGAGGCCATCTTGGGCGTCTTGGAGGCCATCTTGGGCGTGTTGGAGGCCTCTTGGGCCGTCTTGGGGCCCTCTAGGGGCCATCTTGGAGGCCACTTGGGCCATCAGGGGGCTCTCTTGGGGGCCTGTTGGGCGATCTTGGGGGCTTCTTGGGCCGTCTTGAGCCGTCGGAGAGCCGAAAAGGCGCAAATGCCAAAATCCTTCAAAAACCAAGGGAAAATCAATGATTTTGGCCTCTTCGGACTCTCCTGGAGGACCTCTTGGAGGCCTCTTGGGCCGTCTGGGAGGCCTCTGGGGGGCCTCTTGGGCCGTCTTGGGCCGTCTTGGACTCTCTTGGGCCGTTTTGGAGGCCGTCTTGGACCATCTCGGGCGGACTTGGAGGCCATCTTGGGCCATCTTCGCGATTTTTGAGGATGTCCCGAGCGAAACGGCCGTTTTTGGAGGATTTGTTGCGGTCGTTGAGCACGTTTGGGGAAATTCCGGGTGGCCGGCGGGTTCTGCCGGAGCCCACTGGGAAGTTCTTTTGGAAAAAGAACCAAAACCAAAACCTGAAACGTCCAGCACGCCGTGCACCCCTGCAAGCAGGGGGCGGCGGATCGAATTGCCTTCGGCCCATCCCGCCACCGTGCATGGGTTGTGGGTCATAGCCCTCTAGGATGTCAGTGCGGATGTCGCGGAAGGACTCTCGGGAGCCCTTTGGGGGCCGCTTGGAAGCCTTTGGGGGGCCGGTTTGAGACCTCTTAGGATGTTTTCGGGGCCCCTTGGAGGTAACTTGGGGCCTTTGGGGGGCCTCTTGGGGTCTCCTGGGGGCCTCCTGGGGGCCTCCTGGGGGCCTCTTGGGGCGGAAGCCTCGGATTCTCGGTTCGCGTTCCCCTGTGTTAGTCCCTTCTTGGGGCTGTCGTTGGCTCCCCCCCCCTTCCCTTCTCCTCGCTTCCCCTCTCCCTCCTGCTTCCTAAACTCCCGGACCCATAGGCCCTCTCCCTGCCGCTCCCCTTCCCCGCTTCATGCCTTCAGTCCCCCGTCCTCCTCGTGCCCCATCCATCCCGATAGACAAGGGCTCCCTCGAGGGCGCGAAGTTATTCGCGCTTCGCGCTTCGCGGTCCTCGTTCCTTCTCCTCCTCCTCCTTGTCCTCCTCTTCTCCCCCTTGGGGGGCGGCGCGAGAGCGCGAAGTTATTCGCGCTTCGCGCTTCGCGCAGCGCGAAGCGCGAACTTAGGAGCCCTTGGATAGAGGTGCGTTTGGTCGGCCCCTGCTCGGCACGCCCTCCAAAGGGGAGGCCCCGGAGGCCTCCCTGGCGGAGCGTGGCCCGGCAGAGGGGGGAGGAAGACAGGGGCAGGGCGATGATGAGGAGGTACAGAGGAGGATTCGGATTCGGGTGAGGAGGAGCAGGAGGAGCAGGAGGAGCAGCGAACGAGGAGGAGGAGGAGGAGGAGGAGGAGGAGAAGAACATGGACGAGGTGGATTGAGTATCAGCAGAAGCAGAACGAAAAAGTTGAGGACGAGGTTGGAGCAGGTGCTGATAATGAGTATGAGGACGATGATGATGATGATGATGATATGATGATGATGATGATGATGATGATGATGATGATGGTGGTGGTGGTGGTGGTGATGATGATGATGATGATGATGGTGGTGATGATGATGATGATGATGTTGGTGGTGATGGTGATCGTGAT